TCTTGGCCAATAGCGAGAGGGGGCGGGACGGAGGAGGAGGGGCTCTGCCGCTCGGAGAACCTTGCGCGTGCGCGCGCTCCGTTTTCTACCCCTCCCCCGTCCTTTCCCCGCCCCCTTCACTCCCTCCCGTCGGCGCGTAGGAAGAGCGTGGCGTCGTCGTCGTCGTCGTCACTGCGCACGCGCCGGCTCAGGTCCAGCCAGGAGGAGCGGCGCCATCTTGTTGCCGGCGCCAGGCCGAGCCGGAGGGTGAGTGAAAGAGGAAGGGTGGGTGGATGGGAGGGTTTAGGGAGCCCGGTGTGTCTTTAACTCTTTTCGGGTGTGGAGGGAGGGGGAGGGGGGGAGACACTGAACGGTTTCCTTCTGCCTTTCTGGCTGGCCCGAAAAGCTTGCCTTGCAAAGCAAGCCAACAAACACCCTGGTGACAATGCCTCTGAGCATCTGAAGAACGTGGCCACCCTGTCTGGCCCCACAGGCCCTTTCGGCCCTCTTTAAAAATACAGCAGGACCGTGGTAGCCACGGGGGGGATGGGTTCCAGGACATTTCCCCACCCCTGCCCCGTGGATGCCGGAAACCGCGGAAGTATGGAACGCTATCCAATGGCCTGGTTTCTGGTTCCCTCTAATGGCAAGATCTGGTAGATACACCTTGGAAATACATCCATGTTTTAAATTTTTATTTTAGTATTTTCTGGCAGTGGATAATTGACTCGGCGGATATTGATCCCACAGATGGGGGGGGGTCCTTACTGTATAACATTGAGAGTGTGTGCCTGAATGGTGCTTTCAGGGGTGAGAGAGGACTCTCTCTTTTTTTCCTTGCTTGCCGAAGAATTCTGCAGAACCCAAAAACCCACCTCGTTTGCAGCTCTAGCGAGCCATTAAAGCTTTTCGGGTGGTCAGATCAGAATTGACCTATAGTGACCCTAATTGTTTGATTAATTTCCCCCCCACCCCAATTCGTTTGCCCCAATGAAAGAACTCAAGATGGCTCACATGTTAAAAAAAAACTTCCTAAAACCACAATAAATTGTAACCTTTAAAAAACCCAGTTAAACGTACAACAGGGTTAAAGCAATTACTTAAAACTGAAGACGGCTTTTGAGGTGTGTGTGTGTCCTATTTAAGGTGTGGTTTTGTCTGTTCTCTGCTCCACCGGCCATTTCCATGGCTAAGTGGGGATTTGAACCTGAGTCTCCAAGACCCCTAGATCTCAGACGCTCTGTTCACTGTACCGGACAGGGTAACCGTGTACGAAGTACTGGTGGAAAAAAAATATGTGAAATGTTGCTGCTATAAGTGACACGGAATTGCCTCCTTGATCCCTCCGGTCTCTGCGCTGACCAACAGATTGACAGCTTTCCTTGTCCTGCTGTGCACCCTTTTGCTCTGGTGCTGATGGGGAGAGGGGGGGGGGTCAATAACTGGCATCTTGATTCAGAAATAGCTTTTATTTGTGGGTACCGTATCACACACCCCTGGCTCCCCCCTCAAGGGATTTATAATCTCCTGCCAACCTGCCCCCGCCCCCCATTAACCTCACCCGAGTTCTTCTCCAGGGTTGAGTTTCCTGGAAAGCAGCGGGAAGGGAAGCCTCTCTACCCACCGACCCTTCGAGAAGAGAGAAGCCACGTCTCCGCTTCCCTTCCTTCAGCACACCTGTCCTGACTTGTTTCTCCGGGGGCTGCAGCCATGTCTGGACGAGTGCGTGGCTTGAATCTCCCGTATTTGAGCGCAGACAGACAAGGTGCCCCCTCCTCCTTTTCCCTGGTCTCTGTGTCTTCCTGGGTGTCATCCTCCCCGAAAAGCACAATGAGCCGGGCCTTTCTCTTCTGTTCTCGTAGACCCCTTCCTCCTTCTCTAACTGTTCCTTTTTGGGCCTTTGCCTCTCCTTCACCTGTGTGGGCTGCTTCCTAGTGGCTTGATACGGGTGTGTGTGTGTGTGTGTGTGGATCTACCTACTCCCATCCTGGCTGCCCAGTCTCATGAGGGGGTGTGCGCTTGTACCCCTTCACACCTGGGGAAAGGGAATGGCAGGGATTAAGCTTGGAGCTTCCTGAAGGTAAGACAGGTGCTCCTGCATTGGGCTGTAGGTCTTCCCAGTTCACTTCATGTTTGCTCTTGATCTTTAGAAGGGGGGGGGAACGCAAAGTTCAGCCCTCGATATGTTGTTGATCTGCAGCTCTCCTCAGCAAAGGCGCTGGTTGAGGAAGGCTGGGAAGACAAGCTGTGCCCAGTCGGCTCTCAGACGTGACGTTCCTTCAGCTTTTATCTTCCATCAAATTCTAAACCACTCTGTTCAACAAACCCGAAAGGTTCAGATTGTATTTATGAACTCTCCTGGAGCAGCATTCTGCTTTTACAAATTCAGGATGGCAGAAATAGATAAAGCCTGCTGCAATCTATATCTTCAGCGGGAACCGTGTGTTCTTCCTGAGAACCGCCCGGTGGTGAAAGGAACCTTGTACTTTTTCAGATGTTTTTCATCTCTCTGTGTTCAACAATACATGCAATAATAACATTTCTGTTAAAGAAATGTGCTGGTCACTGATTAGCTCCATCTCCCTTTCATTTTTTTTAATTTTCAGTCACCACTGGTGTGTACAGGGACGTGGTATTGCTGTGGGTTAAACTGCAGAAGCCTCTGTGCTGCAAGGTCAGAAGACCAACCGTCGTAAGATCGAATCCACAGCTTGTCCCAGTTCCCGCCGACCTAGCGGTTCGAAAGCATGTAAAAATGCTAGTTGATAAATAGGTACCATCACGATGGGAAAGTCATGGCTTTCCGTGTCTAGTCGCGCTGGCCACGTGGCCTTGGAAACTGTCTACAGACAAACACTGGCTTGGAGACAGGGATGAGCACCGCACCCTAGAGTTGGACACGACTGGACTAAATGTTGAGGGGAACCTTTACCTTACAAGGCCATCGGGTCCAACCCCCTGCTCAGTGCAGGAGTCCAAAATCAAAGCAGATCTGACAAATGATTGCCCAGTTTTCTCTTGATTGTCTCCAGTGTTGGAGTGCTCACCACCTCCCCGTAAGGTCATGGGTTCCATTGTCATACTGCTCTAACCGCTAAGATGTTTTTCTTGCTATTCAGCCTGAATCTGGCTGTTTTTCTTGCTATTCATCCTGAATCTGGCTTCCTGTGCCTATTGTTACATGCCCCACATTTTGGGATGATCAAGAATAGAGCCTGCCCCTCTGTATGACTCCCTTTCAGGTATTTGAAAACTGCAGTCCTATCTCCCCATCGTATTCCTAATGCTAAACCTGCCCAGCGCTCTCTCTCTCTCTTTTCTCTCTCTCTCTCTCTCTCTCACACACACACACACACACACGCATATGTAAACCTCATATGCCTTCATTTTACTCTCGTCTGCCTATTGAAGTGCTGTGTCTCTTCTCTGCCCTCTCCAGTGGTGCCGATCATGGAGAACTATCAGAAGTCGAAGACGGTGGAGAAGCCCTGCCCTCTCCCTTTTGCCCATTTGCCCTCTGACATCATTGAAATGAAAGTGAAGGATGGCAGCAAAATCCGGAACCTGATGGGCTACGCCATTGGCAAGATGGAGTCGGAGGCCACGAGGCAGGTCCTCTTCAGTGGCGCGGGCAAAGCGATTAGCAAGACCATCACTTGTGTGGAGATCATGAAGCGGAGGCTCAAGAACCTTCACCAGATCACCAGAGTTTTCTTCAGGCAAACGGAGGAGATCTGGGAGCCGATTGTGCCGGAGGCTGGCCTCGATCCGTTGACAGTGAAGCGAAATGTCCCTGCCATTTGCGTCTTGCTGAGCAAAGATCCCCTCGACCCTCAGGAGCCGGGATATCAAGCCCCCGGGTCTTTTGATGCCTTCTGGTTGGAAACGCTCAAATCGGAGCCCCAGAGCCAGGCGAAGCGGAAGCAGGGGGGAGGGAGAGGAGCGGGCCGTGCTGGGAAGCATCATCGTTCGGTGGGGCGGGAGGAGGCGTACAAGAAGTCCTGAAAAAAAGACACGCTCCAGAATGTGACAAAAGGAAAGGTTGCCAGTTTTAAAATTGGACGTGTTGGGAATAGGAGCAGAAGGAAGCGACACGTCCCGAGATAAAAGGCAAGGAAATGGTCTGAATTCAAATTTGTTGTGTGTTGGAGAGAATTGTTGTGAGGCTCTTGCAGTGTGGCTGTTTTGCCTTCCGTGAGGAGGAAGTGCACAAGACATGCTCAAGTGGATGGATAGGGGTTTGTTCGTGGTGGGGGCGCTTGAAACGTCAGCTTGAGAAGGAAGTACAGAATCTCGCAAGCTGAGAAGAAGCTGTCGCTCCACTTTGTGTTTCTCTTCCAGCAGGCGGGTTGCTGTGATGATGAATGGTTCCCTCCCATCATCTATCTGGCTGGTGCCGCTTGACATTGAAAGGGTCTTGCACTTTGCTAACCCATCAGATTCCTTTACTAGCTCATCGAAGGTCCCCCTTGGAACCCAAAGTGGAGAATCATTTCATGATGTCTGTATCTCTGTACTCTTTTGACATAGAGGACTTCAGATTTTTTTTTTAAAAAAATGTCTTTGCTTTGCTTTAAGCATCAGCCTTCCTGAACATTCAAGAGAAGGGACCGCTGTTTGCTTCAGGGTAAAAACGAGAACCGATTTCTGGATGTGTTTTTTGACCTGTGATTGTGCCAACGGGATTGCCTGCTGTGTCATATCGTATGGAGAGGAAGAAAATGAGCTGTCTCAGAAAAGCCATGGACTACAGGCCTTGAAATTACATTTTTCATTAATAAAGCTGGGGGAAATGTATATTTTCCAGTTAAGTGGTCTTGTATGTATCTTCGAGGCAGAAGAGACGTCTGGGCTACACCCTCATTTTTTCTCCTTTGCGATTAGCATGCTGGTTGAGGATTTAGGAGCCTTGGGTTCAGGTCCCCCCCTTTACCCTTTGCTACTGACCGAGGGCGGTTGGTCGAGTCCTTCTTTATTCTCAGCCTCGACTGCCTCGCCAGGTCACGGTGATCAAAGAGCTGTGTGTATTGCCTCATGGCAGGGGAAGCGGGATATAAATAGAGGAAGTAATAAAAACCAAACATGGTTTTTGTGACCCTCCCACTCACCCCTCTAATGGTCGGCGGGGGGGGGGGGGCTTCATTTTTGTGGGGCTGATGTTCCAGAGAGTTTACTCTGGGCCAGGAGATTGGGTTGGTACGCTTTTGTTTCTTCCTTTCGCCCATGTCTCCGTACTTTGGAAAGAAGTGCCTGCAGAGTCCAACAGTTGGTGTGGCCCACCGTTGAGTTACACCTTTGCCGTCTTAGAACGGCCGAGCTGAAAAGGACCCTCTGGATCACGGAGCCCAGCCCCCATCGGTGGGGAATCGAACTCCCAGCCTCTGCCTCCGGAGCCAGAAGCCTGAACCCCCGAAGCTGTCCAAATAAGTCAACTTCCTCCTTTCCTGGCAGGCTTCCCTTTTGATTATTCATCAGACAGGACCCCGCAGCACACGGATTGTGGAGTAAGAGCCTGTAATGAATTATGGATGCCTGCTGTGCTTTTTTTTTCCAGGTGTGAAGCGCTCACCTTGCAATTTGAATAGGACAAGGGGATGCAGAAAGAATTCATTATGGCTGAGGACCTTGAGATGTCATCCCTCACAAAACCAGGGGTGCTTTAAATAACTGCTTGGGTTATTTAAATACCTCAGTGTTTGTGATACTGCAGTTCCCTAAAGATGTTCACCTCTGAAAACAGCTCTCTGCTTTTCCTGGCCAAGCCCAGTGTTGCTGTCAGTTGCTTCCTTTCTATTCCGGCATCTTCTTCTCCGAAATAAGTTCTTCCAGACAGTGGCTGCCTCTATAAAGATTTTGCCTGTTTGTCAGGTCTGTTTCACAGGCTTGTATCTTTTCTTTTTGAAGTGCCTTTTCTTACTCTTTTATGCTGTGTGTTGCCTTTTAAGTCAAGGTGGGCCATATCTATCTGTCAGTTCTCGTGAAATATGCAAGCACTTCTCACCAAGGAAAAGGAAAACTTGCTTTTGACTTGAGATCTTGATCCTTCTGGGGATTATTTTGGCCAGATAGTCTTTCGGGGGATTAGATTTATTTTATTTTATTTTACTTCCTGGCTGGTCAGCTACTAAGTGGAACTCAGGAGCACAGATAGGACAACTTTCTCAAGCTGTTGCTAGGGAGGGCTCTTAATTTTCCACCAACTTCAAATATGCTTTACTCTCATCGTCTCTCCTTCACTGAGAAGTGCCTTCATGAGCCCTTCCGCTTTCTAAAGCAGCTTCTGAATTTCCGATGCAGTGCCTAGTGTCTCTTGCATGGCTTCTAATCTTTACCACCTTAGTTGTCAAATGAGAAAGAGTGACAAATGATGTGCCTTAGGCACTGCTGTGGCATGAAAACGTTCCTCATGGTTTTCCAGCAAGCAGCCTTTGCTCTGAAACACGCTTTGGGACCCAATGTGTTTTATCCTGAGTGGAATGTAGTCGAGCACCCCAGAAACTTCTGAGGGAGCTGCTTTGCAATATCCCGCTTCCTGGTAGCACCTTCTCTCATTGAAATTGCAAACAAAGTAGCCGAGAGATCGGGACCATCTATCCAGAAACGGCTCGGTGGTTTAGGCAGAAGTTGGGAGTTTGATTCTCCACTGTGCCTCTTCGACAAGAGCTGGCGTCGGTGATCCAGAGGGTCCCTTTCAGCTCTGCAGTTCTAAGGGGATGGGGATCGGTTGTGCAGGGGCCACAAACTATTATTGGGCCCTGAATTCTAGGTAGGAGGCATAAGAGAGAACCGGGGGAGAGATGGCTTCCTTATCCTCTGATCACGGCAGCACTCTTGGTGAGCTACTTTGAACCTTCCAGAGTGGCACAATGGCAGAATATCACTGGAATACAGAATGAACCTAATGCGGATAGAGGGACTGGGAGGTAATGTTTCAGATGGTGTAATCACTGAAGCCGAGGGTGCGGAATGAACCTATTAGCATGCGGCTAGAGGGACTGGGAGGTAATGTTTCAAATGGTGTAATCACTGAAGCCGAGGGTGCTGCTGGTATACAGGGTGAAGGGGACGTGGGGGGGAACAGACGGCGTGCTGTTGTGCACCGACCGGGCTGCTGAGGTCTCCAGCCCTGCGCTCACCTGGCAGACGGTCAAGAACTTGCGGGTCTTGCCTGCTCTGGAGCCTAATCCCTCTCGGGAAACCAGGAGGCAGATGGAAGCCCTATTTAAAAATTACTGTGCAGAGGAGTCCCCAGGAGAAGAGGGAAAGCCCCACGCCAGCCCTCCCAGGATTGGGATTAGAAATCTGTATAAAGTGACACCTCTGGCAGGGTGTCTGGGTTCAGTGTGGGGTTCCCAAGGGAGAAGCCATCAGACAATGAATATAAACCACTTCTGCAGCCTCCCAAGCGGGGAGGGAGGAAAAGGAGGCAGAGGAGGAAAAAAGGGATCCGATGATGGGAGGCAGAGGAGGAAGAACCCTTCCATGTGGGCTTATTGCCCCTCTCTCTGGGGGGGGGACACTCAGCTGGAAGACACCCGACGAGGTGGACTGGGCTAGGAGACTGAACGAAGGGCTCGGGGGATCGAGCTCCTCAGAGAGGCTTTGACCCTCCCAGTGAAGGAAAATGAGGGGCTAAAGACATTTGGAGCTGACGGGAGACGAGGAAGCAGAACTAGCGTTCTGAACTCCGGTTATCGCTTCCCCTTTACCCAAGTTCCAATAAGCCCAGTTGAGTTCTGTTCTGCCCCTCCTGGTTTTATGGAACCAAGGGTGGAAGGGAGCTGGAGGTGCTCCCATACTGATCTGGAATGCTTGATTGAGGGGGTGGCCAAAGAGAGATGAGGAAAGATGCTCTCCAGGGGGTTCAATAAGAGTTGGCTGAAGCTTTTTTGTTCTGCTGCCTTATTCCACTAGAGAGTGCTCTGTTCCCTCTTTGTGCACGAATGGAAGGATTCTGAATCAAATCTTGATTCATTTCTGCTCCAGTTCCCCTGCAAAATGCCACTGCTGATTTATGGTGTTAATAAAGCAGTCTTTTGACAAGGGCGCCTCATCTCTGAACACTGGAGAAGGGAGGAAGACGCTGTCCGCTGTGATATTTTCCTGTAGAAGCAAAAGTCTGTGCGGTAAATTCTGTCGCTTGCACCTTAAATGCCCAGGGAGGAGATCCTCCGAAACTCACCAGCAGGGCTGTGGATCAAGGGCAGATGTGTCAGTGGGCATGCCGTTAAATTGGGGCCGGAGGCCAACCCAGTCCAGAAACCATTTTGTCCTTTCCGATTCACTCTTTGTGAGTGTTTGCTCGATCACCCACCGCTCAGCTCTTAGGACTCGGGAGCTGGCAGGTTGGTGAATATGGGGACTGCCTAGAGAAGGCAAGCGGTTGTACCTCCTGGCTCAGCCGGGCTTTTGCTGGAGACCCGGAGACCGGACATGGAGGGTCTCCAGGGCAGATCCACCCTGGTCCTGTGGGAAGGCCATGCTGAAAGTCGCTCCCACCTTTTATCTGTATAGGGCTGGACGCAGAAAAGAGTACAGAGCTAAGACAGCTTTGGAGGACTAAGCAAGAATATATATACTGTATATAAAAAATGGGAGCAATTCAGTGTAAGAGCAATAATATCCAAGACTGTGCAGTGTGACTTTGGGAGAACAACAATTTAAAATTGGCAATTCAACTCCTAATTAAGTCATCTAAATAAGAACAGATTCAACCCAGCTTCCTTACAATGCCTTCTCCAGGTTTTGGAGCCCCCAACAGCCTTTCCTTATTGCCTAGCTTTTAAAAAAGAGATCCAGAGGGGATCTTGGCAAATTCCAGGCTAGTAAGTGTAATGTCTCTCTTCTGCAAATGGGTAGGAAGTATTATTGAAGAAAACAGGAAGAAACCCTGCAGGTACAGAAGACTGATTGAAGTTGTTCTTCTCTGAAGACTGATGGAAAGGCAGATGGATAGCTCCGGGAACTAGGGGAAACAGAAGGCTGGCGGAGAGACGTGAGTTTCAGTAGGAGCTTCGTGTGTGCTTAAAATTGCTTTTGTTATTTAGTTGTTTAGTCGTGTCCAACCAAAATTGCTTTTGTTGTTTAGTTGTTTAGTCGTGTCCAACTCTTGTGACCTCATGGACCAGAGCACGCCAGGCCCTCCTGTCTTTCACTGCCTCCTTGACTTTGGTCAAATTCATGTTGGTCACTATCTCATCCTGTCGTCCCCTTCTTCTCCTGCCTTCACACTTTCCCAACATCAGGGTCTTTTCCAGGGAGTCTTCTCATAAGATGGCCAAAGTACTGGAGCCTCAGCTTCTGTATCCGTCCTTCTAATGAGCACTCAGGGTTGGTTTCCTTCAGAATGGATAGGTTTGTTCTCTTTGCAGTCCAGGGGAATCTCAAGAGTCTCCTCCAGCACCACAGAATTGCTAGGGAAAGTAAAATCCATGGGGTGCAATAGGCTTATTGCTGCACAAGTCAAATGAAGACGCTTCACTTTGACATGAGATCAAAACCAGGCAAGTTCTCTCTCTCTCTCTCTCTCTCTCTCTCTCTCTCTCTCTCCCTCTCTCTCCCTCTCTCTCCCTCTCCCTCTGCTCTGCCATGCGTGTTTTTCCCAGCTTGCTGCTTCTTTTTCCTTGTTTGGGGTCTCGGCAAGTGTTACCCAGCTGTTTCCACTGAGCCCAGCTTTTCCATTCGATTCTTCTGTGGCTGCTCGGGCAGCTCTCCTTGCCCCCCAAGCAACAGCAGCTGGCTTTGGCAAAACATCCATAATTACTTTTAGATGGCAACCTTCAGATCTTCTTCAGCCA